AATTTTTTTTAATCCATTTCATATTTTGTAACTTTAACGAAGTTTTGATTAACAAACTCAACGAGTTCAAAGCAAGCAATGGCAATCCTTTACAGAAAATAACATTTTTATCTCCAACGCGGAAATTCTAAAAATATGTCCTTTTCAAATATTTTTGTGATATTGTTCTTGAATTGAATTTTATGCGGTTTATTTGCGAAGAACATGATGTTTAATAAATAAAGGTAACACGCAAAACGTTACAAAAACGCTCCTTTGGGCGTAATATAAAATTATATTGCTGAGTGCTTCCAGAGTTTATCTTTTTTTTTCCTCATTACACTCAAAATCGTTTATGCTCCGAATTTTATGAATTACTATTATAAATAATCATCTTGTAATGTTAATAATTAATGATCATATAATCAAATAAATTATCGTCTTGTTATGTTATAATAATTTTAAAAACTACTGCCTGAAAATGCTCATAAAATCAAAGAAAATTATCAGATCTTGTTTAATTTTACCTTATTTGTTTCAAAGCATCATATGATATCAGTATTATTTAATTTTACTTTATTTGTACACAAAAAAGTTCATAAGTTTTGCGTTTAGAATTTTCCGTTTTACTAAAGTAAAGAAATTTACAAGAATACGCTTTGAAAAAAATGCGCAAAATGCAAGCAATAAAATTATTGTTATCTGAATTATCTTTTTATGGAAACATTTATAGCGGTGAGGGTTAGTTTAGCAAATATATTATTTTGTTATTAAAAACTATTTTAAAAAAAGTGAATTTTAAGACAAACAAAGGTATAAATTAGTTGTGACCTCTTAATTTGCAGTTATGCCACCATTCTTGAGATAAAAATTCTGTAACATTTATTAACCACGCTCTTGCTTAAAAACTTCTTAGGTGAATTGTAGCCCTAAATAGTGCATAATGTTTAATTTAGAAGTAAATATTCTTTAAAGTTTGTTTTATTCATTTTCGAGAAATTCAGCGCTTTTTCAATTTGGCCAATGTATACCAAACAGCACGATACATATCAAACAATGCTAAATTAACACAAAAATTAATAGCACATATGAGATCTTTAAGAATCGAAAAATAAATTTTACTGATAGGTGAAAAAGGACTTATATATTGAACTTGTGAAGTAGTCGAAAAATTTTGTAATTCATAGTTTAAATAAATTTTGGGTACGTGTCAGTTAAACGTCACTGACGGCTTAGTAACCTGTTGACTAAATGTCTTGACAGGTAAGTGTCCCGTAGCTCTAAATGTCCTGACAGCTAACTCTCTGTGTCGGCCAAATGTCCTGTCGGCTAACTGTCCGTGTCTGCTAAATGTCCTGTTAGCTAAGTGTCCTTGTCGGCTAAATGTCCTGTCGCTAACTGTCCGTGTCGGTTAAATATCCTGTCGGCTAACTGTCCGTGTCGGCTAACTATCCTCGGCTAAGTGTCCTTGTCATCCAAATGTCTTGTCGGCTAACTGTCCGTGTCGGCTAAATGACCTGTCAGGTAAGTGTTCGTGTCGGCTAAATGTCCTGTAGGCTAATTGTCCGTGTCGGCTAAGTGTCCGAGTCGGCTAAATGTCCTGTCGGCTAACTGGTGTCGGTTAAGTGACCCGTCGGCTAAGTGGTTTTCGGCTAAGTGTCACGGACTCGCGTGCCCGGTCAGGGTAGACTTCTATAGATGGTTAGTGCAGTGAGGCGATACCAGTTTTGCCCATGGCGATGTTTTGGTGCCTCTTGTACTTTTTTCTTTCTTTCTGTCTCTCTGTCTTCATAGCCCCGAAGCATAGTGTCGTTTGTAATGAGAGGTGATGTCAAAATTCCTTTTGCTGTGCTGAAGCATTGAGCACCAATCTAATAATCTCATAATCAAGTCGATTCTACTTTTATAGCCTTAATAAGCTATGTGAAATAATGCCGCGTGGGCATATGACTTAAAAGGCTGTGAAAAATCAAAAACAGGAAGGAAAGGCTATCTAAAGTCTCAAAACATTATATGGATGTTTAGCGGTTGTGAATGCTCAAGCCCATTCCTTCTAGTTATTCTACTACCTGCAGTTCAAATATTAGTTTTTGACTGGGAAGTCTGGCCTTCTTAATCCAATTTCTATTGTTTTTCTCGTTGGTAAGGGAAGTCATGGAAGAAATTCGTGAAGAAATTTTATCTTTCTTTAAAAAAGTTTTATTTCTACTAGATAACAGCTATTTTGGATACATCGGACTTTTCCTGAAGTTGCAAGGGTGGTCCCCTTGGTATCTAAAAACAAGTTGCGTTTTTCTTCTTTAACAAAGCCCAAGATACGAGGTAACTAAGGTAGCAGGAGAAGAATCAAGAAGTCTCATAAGATGTCAAAGATCATGTGATTTTTCCAAGTTCCGCTTGGATGTTTCCAAGGATGCGCCGCTGATTAACTTGCAGGATTTGGAAGTTTTGCTCCGGCTGTCTGCTATAGAGCGCTGAAAGTAGGAGAATGCATGAGTGAGACCGTCAGTCAGGATTACAGATGTTGAGAGGGCGTTACTACCTTGTCACGTGAGGTGTGAAATAGTCGTTGATACGTTGCGAGATTTCAGGTTAGGAAAGCTGAAGAAAACATTAAATATACAAAACTGCAGAAATAATTGCATAAAAGGAAATTTGTCTAGTAATCATCAGAGTAACATCTTATGGAATAAACCAAATTTCATCTCTTAATACAGTCTAGCAGTCCTGTAAGTTGAAGTTCGGAGTTCATGATAACGTGATGGGGGTTGTGTAAACAGAATCATGTTTTCATTATTACATTCGAAGAAGTTTCAGGAAAGCAAGTCTTCAATTATTTTAGTAAGAGTTACAAAAAAACAGAATAAATGCAGAACAAATATTAACACAAAATTCATATATACAAATTCAAGGTGTGTATCCCAGAGCATACTTAGAATAAGCAGTCATATGTCACGTGAGCGGAATCAAGCACTCTGATTCGCTTAGCATATACTTGTCCAAAACTGATGAAAAGAGTAAAATAATTAAATAATGGGCTGCGATAGCGAAAAATCACTATTTTTCCCACGATTTCCGTGATTTTTGATGATGTCATAGTTACTTATATTCACGTGAAACAACGGTACCTAGAGCTATCGAATTTTGAATAACATAGTCCTCCAACCGAACATGGGCACTTAAAAGCCCAAATTTTGAATTTCAAATTTGTTTTATTATCTAATTAAATTTTTTAAAAACTTTAACGAATTTTTGATTAAAAAACTGAAGGATTTCAAAGCAAGCAATGGCAACAGTGTACGGAATAAAAATCATTTTATCTCCAGCGCGCGAGACTATGTATCGGAAATTCTAAAGGTATGCTGTTTTCAAATATTTGGTGATATTGCTGTTGAATTGAATTTTATGTGTTTTAAGTGCGAAGAAGATGATATTTCATAAATAAAGGTAGCACACAAAACACTAAAAAAAGCTTTCTTTCGGGGGTAAAATAAATTCCGAAAGCTTTTAGATTTAATTAATTTTTCTAATTCATTATGTTTTGCTTTATTTTAATTGTTAACGCTTTTCAGTTAGTTTTCTGCTTGGTTGACTTATTTAAATTATCAGATTCTGATTGCTAATAAATCTTTCTTTCATTGTTAAATTTCTGTTGCTATTTAGAAAATGAAATTGCTTTACTTTTAAGTCATATCGATCGCTCAGTTTCTTAACTATTCTATAATCAGGAGAATGAATTTCATTTCTTTCGTTGTTTAAATACAGCTCGGGCTTAAATACAGCTAAATGTGTTCAGGCTACAAATAGCCTCGTTATTTTCATAGACTTGCGGGAAAAACTGATTTAAAAACAAAATGTATAAAGTAATAAAATCATCAATTAGTAATAAGGTACATAAGTCTGTTTTACACTCTTTTGCAATATTTTCCCTTTTCACGTGGAATTCCCCTATCTATCAATAATCCAATCAAATCTTTGCTCCAAAATCTTCATTCGAAATAAAGATTCAGGAGTTCTAAATACATTCTCTTTCGATGTTTGATTTTGGCCTCCTAAGTGTATATTGTTTATTAGCAATCTTTAAAGCAATCAACTAAACACGTAAAAGCATCAGAGACTGACGCTGAAAATTCTTTGTACCTGCTCTGTGATATCAGGATTGCCAGATGCCAAATTCTATTTAAGCTTAAATAAATTTTTATTTATTTAGTTATTATGAGATAATTTTAGTAGATATATTATTTTAACATATAAGCGTTTTATGGTATATTAAAACGTTTTGAAGTCAAAGAAAGTAGCACAAAAAGGTGATGAAGTAGCGAAAATTTCGCAAAATCGCATAAATTTGCATAAACAAAATCGCATAAATTTTAATCGCACACGTTTGTCAAAAGTAGCAAATTTTTGAAACATCGCACGATTTGGCAACACTGTCAGGATGTGATGATTTATGTTCCATATTTTAGTCGAGCGCCATTATAGGACTATTTAGATTATCTGAAATAAAAAACATGAGAACCAAGATTCGAACTACGAATTTCCTGACGACAAAAGTGCGTAGTGAAAAAGAAAAAATTCCTTCTAAAATTATTATCATACATCTATTTTCATTTACTTTCATTTTCAAACACTCTTTTTGGTGGAAAAGTTTATGAGCACAGCAAGGTAATGATAAGGAAATAACAAAATGTTAAGAAGTACTGAATAAAAATATTTTTATCGATCAAGTCACAGCGACCATTTCCTAGCAAGCATTTATTTACTCTTTCATACAAAAATGTTTATTTTTTACACGAACAATTTGCCTTTTTACCTTCAATTTGACCTTCAATTCTTATCTAAATGACCTATCTTTCATTTACTTAAGTCCTTTCAAAAGAACCCCCTTAAGGTGGGCCAGGTGGCTGAGAAAATCACGTGTTTTCAATTCATGACTAAATTTCAAAGAACTGTTAGCTGCAGTTTTCATTCTGTTACGGTGAAAAGAGGATACCGGGTTCTGTATTGTAAGAAGCAGTCATGGCAGACATTTCGAATAAAATAATTTATTCAGTAGGGCTGACTTTCACGTTAGCAGCTACATTTTTATTTGTATCGCCACTCATGTATGATTTGGTACTAAGTAATATGTTAAAGCTCAGTCGCACAACTTCTCTTTTCAAAATATGGAAAGATGGACCATTGGTATTACACCAGAAGTTATACTTCTTCAATATCACAAACGCAGCTGAATTCCTTGCAGGAGCGAAAATGGATGTCAAGGAAGTAGGACCTTTCACATATCGATTAGAATGGCAAAGACGAAATCTGAGATGGAATACAGGTAACACTTTGTCATATACACGGTTCAAATTATTACATTTTGTTCCAGAACTTTCAGTAGCAAATGAAAAGGCAACTATATATTCATTAAATATACCTTTACTTACATATTCGATAAATGACAAGAATAAGAAGAAGGAAGATAATCTGCATCGTTATAATCAGACATTAGTTACAAAGATAACGGTAGACCAATTCTTACATCATATTCTTGATGATTCATCCATTGAAAAAGCGGAAATGCTTTCATGGATAAGCAGACTAAATGGTTCCATATCTGACAACTACACTGTTTTCACTGGAGAAGCTACTACTGATGTTAACATTGTGAAAAAATGGGACGGTAAATCAGAGTTAGGTTTCTGGAAGAAAGAAGCTTGCAATATGATCAATGGAAGCACCATAGATTTAAGGCCTTCTTTTTCCGGAAATGGAATTCTCACTAATTATTCTTTTTTCGAGCCTGAGCTGTGCCGCTCTTTGACTTTAACCCAACTAGAAACTAAAATTTCTCAAGGCTTGTACACAAACAGATTCGAAATCTCAAATAGACAGTTCTCGAATGGTTCTGTTTATAAACCTAATTCATGTTTTGACTCAGATCACCAATTTCCATCCGGTGTTCTTGATGTCAGTCGCTGTTATCACGGGGCTCCTGTTCTTCTGTCACTTCCACACTTCTATCTGGCGGATATGTCATATTTTCAACAAGTGTCCGGATTGCAGCCAAATATTACAGCTCACACTTCATATGTAATTGTTGAACCTATCTCTGGATTAACAATAAACTTTGCCTTACGGTATCAGTTCAATGTGAAAGTACGGGGACCCCCAAACCATACGGATTTCATCAGTACATCTAAAAGAATCTATCCTGTGTTGTGGGTTGAAGTATCTGGATATTCTTCAGAAGACTCAATTAGCTTTTTGTTCAGATTTGTAAAAGTTCCACTGTTTGTAATGGACAGTGTGGTATTTAAGATGTGCTTTTTCGCAGTTTTTACAATAACAGCGATATTTCTGCTTTGCTTCATGCAAAAACGCCAAGAGCAAGAACATTTTACAAACAGCATACATAGATGTGTGTTAGACGAACGATCGTTCTTAATCTCAGATCCAGTGAACACATTCAGTACCTTTCCAGATATGGCAACAGTTGAACAAATTACACCTGATACTTCTGCTGTATTCACGTATGTATATTACTAGAATAAGCATCTATGAACACGATCTTGCTAAATAGTTCAGTGAATGGAAAAAAATATATGCACATGTATGTGTGTATGTAAGTATTCAAGATCTAGTAATGGCACAGCAGTTTAAGGTAAATGTAATACTTATTTTGCGAAATAAGTTATAACATTGATTGATAAATTTTATTGATTTCTTTCTATTATTTTGGAAGAGTGAAATAGTAAGATCTTAAAATTTTGTTACCTATATTTTAATATTCAAACCTATTGAATAGTATAAGATATAAAAACTGCTTTTGTCATAAAATCTTAGATTTTCCCCCTGTTTTTCTTCTTTTTGAATAAGAAAGAATTTTCACTTTGTTAGGGTGATTATCGGATCATAAATAAAAATCTTCTTAGGATTTCGCTGCGTACTTCAGGAGAAAATTATAAAAATATATATTTTTTTAATGCTGCAAAAAATGTGAAGTTACGGAAATTTAATTCTTCATCATTAAAAGTGCAATTTATAACTTTTTGAAATGTTAATGTATTTTTATGAATATAGTTTTCAGTAATTTAAATTATTGCTTAAAGAAATTTAGGATGTGGCTACTTCATTTCTCATAATTTGTAATCGATATTGCAAATGATAAAATTAAGCTTGCATATTATACGTTTATTGTTGTAGCATTTTTATGTTATCTTTTAATTTAACAACCTGCTGAGCATGCTTATATATGATGTATCATGACATTACGAATAGTATAGTTTTTTTAAAGAAAATGGTACTTAATAATTAAATACCGTGAGAATATTTAATTTTTTTCCATTTTTCAGGAAAAGCAAGTATAAATTAAATTATGTTACAAAATTAATGAAAATGCCCAGACTACCTCAGTTTGTGCCTATTTATTAATGATAATAATTAATGATTAAATGTATTTATATATGAAACCTCCTCTACAGGTAAATCTTCCCATCTGATATATAATCTCTTCTTCTCACACGTACACATGCAAAACCTGCACGAAGAGACTATATTAGACAAAATTCCTCCTTCCAGATCAGCATTATAATCCATCTTGTGTTCATGGAAGTCGAGCGAAAGGAAAAAATCAGCTAATTTTTCATGTAATAAAAAATGAAAAACGTTTTGGTTTAAATAAAGTAAAGCATTTTAAATTCAGTTCAGTCAATTCTTTTTTATTATATTATTAAAATGCCATTCATGTTAGAATATAAATCCTTCAATTATGTTTATTTACGTTTGTGACAATAATTAACAAATTTGATTAATTCTAATGTTAAACCGATTATTGCTTTAAATGTAAAACGTTTTTTGTCTTTGAGATTTCAGTGAAACAATGTACTGCTTTTTCAAAGATTAAAAAAATTGGTCGATGTAAGCTTATTTATCGTTAACGGTTATTTGTAATTTTAAAGAATTCTAGATTATTTATAATAAACTAATCTAATTTCTATGATAATGTAAAATATTGAATAACATCTGATTGAATGTTGTCAACTGTTTAAAAGATTTTTAAATTTAAAACGCTTTTCTAAAATTTTATCCTTTTAATGATATGATGTTTTAAGAAAGGGGTAGTATAAAACGAAGAAAAGAAGTTTTCTTTAAAGTAGAAATTTTTTAATAAAATTTTTTTCCTTTCGCTCGACTTCCATGAACACAAGATGGATTATAATGCTGATCTGGAAAGGAGGAAATTTGTCTAAATATAGTCTCTTCGTGCAGGTTTTGCATGTGTACGTGTGAGAAGAAGAGAGTTATATATCAGATGGGAAGATTTACCTGTAGAGGAGGTTTCATATATAAATACATTTAATCATTAATATTATCATTAATAAATAGGCAACAAACTGAGGTAGTCTGGGCATTTTCATTAATTTTGTAACATAATTTAATTTTTATACTTGCTTTTCCTGAAAAAATGGAAAAAAAAATTAAATATTCTCACGGTATTAATTATTAAGTACCATTTTTTTCTTTAAAAAAACTATACTATTCGTAATGTCATGATACATCATATATAAGCATGCTATTTTCAGAAATTTTATAAAGTCCGTTATATGATGTTTCTTAGAATTTACGAAATTTAATGCACACTAGATAATTTTATCAATGTTAATTAAATTTTATTGGTTTGCTGTTGAGAAAATTTACGGATACGTTTCAGCATCGCTATTGACATGCTTCTAATTTTACTCTGATAAAAGGAGAGAGAAAAAGAAGAATCACAGAAGAAACCAATGTAACAATGGAATTGTATAGTCTTGTCTGACCCTTGAAATCCCAAGGACAACAGCTCGTGAAATACCAAACCCGAGTATTAACGAAATCACTAAATTCAAGCCCTCTTGATTGATAAACTACAATGATAAACAGTTAATCGAAAATTATAGGTAAATAATATGTAATAAGATAAAGAAATCTTCAAAAATATTTCGCTCTTGAAGTAGAAATGGGTCACTAAGCAATTTGGGAACCATTGTTTTAGCCTAGAAGATTATTAGGTACATTATTGTCTGCCCATTGTGTTGTCTTATATAATTTGCTGTAAGAATAATCGAAATGATCTAATATCAAATAATGCTAGATGTCGTCATCTGGAAAATGATGTTCTAGTGCAATTTTTCTAAAAGATATTGGGATAAAGAAGTCATCGTAAGTAACAAATTTTCATTCAGATTAACCAAGAAGAGGAAGAAAAGCTAAAAAATAACAACAATATGTCATTAAAACTTGCAAGTAGTTTAACTATAACAAATAGCCTACTATTTGCGAAATATTAAAAAAAATGATAAAAATTTATTAAATGCCAAAAAATTACAAAAAATTATAATATTACACTTTTTCTTGAAGGAAGATGTAAGCAGTGAATCAAGACAGATTTACAGCCAAGGAAAAATTTCTTAAAAAAATTTTCTGTTTGAAATATTCAGTAGCTACATAAAATTTCTTAACAGTTTCCTCTAATAAAATGTTTAAGAAAACTTTAAAGCTTATTTTTTTTTTCTGTCAGACACCTATTGGTAATGAATTTGATGCAGCTTTTTGTAATATTAGCACCAGAAATTCTTTGTTTTAAAAGCTTCACAAATGTAGGTAACCTACCTATTACCTTATCTTAGTTTAATTAATCAAAATAGTGAATTTTGTTTTGGTCACAGCATCAAATGTTGTTAATAGATGTTTTTGTTTATAAAAGAACATAGGGCTGTGAGTGTATTTATGTCGTGCCTAAAAATTGGATACCAAATTAAATGGAAAATTAAGCAAAATTCAACATAGAACAATACTTAGTCCAAAGGAATGTTAGCACAGAAAGGCTATTAGTCTCTAAACTGCATTTTGCATCGAATCACTAAAAGGGTTGAATTACTTTCCAAATTGTTGCTACCAAATATTATAGTCCTGTATCATATTTAAAGAAATTAATAATGAAGAATTTATTTGTGTTTCTCGCATTGTGGAATAACAACGATATTTAGAATCATCAAATTTTGAATAACGTAATCCTCCACGCGAATATGGGCCCCTGGAAGTCTGAATTTCTAACTTTGTTATTATCTACTTCATGTTTTGTAAAATTTTAATGAATTTTTGATTAACAAACACAACGATTTAAAGCGAGCAATGCCAACACTGAACGGAATAAAACATTTTTATCTCCAGCGCGAGACTGTCTATCGGAGATTCTTAAGATATGCTGTTTTTAAATATTTTTAGCCCAAAGAGGGAGTTAGCTCAAATGCTCTCGAAATGTGCACGTATATGTAAATGAAAGAAAAACATGCCTTTGGGAATAATATAAAATCTGAAAGCCATCAGATTTTTTTTATTACTGTTAATTAAGGAGGAATTTTGTCTAATATTAAACAAGCAGCCAACTTTTCTTTATTTAGTTACAAAAGAAAGGGTTTATGTTTCAATTTTGCTTCTTAATCGAACAATGAAATGTAATTTTTCAAAGATTTCATCTTACATGATTAATTTTCTGTAATTTAATTTGTTTAAGGAAATGCTTTAAATGTCTATGAATTAAAATAAATGCGAAGAGGGAACGCGTTTCCTCTTTTATTTGACAACCGTGCTATTTTGGCACGAATAAAAACAGTGCCAGAACATAAATTATGAAAATACAACTAAGTATATAAATAAAATTCCGGTAACATATTTCAGTATAGATAAGGCATGAGACAGCCTAAAATAGTCTCGCGGAGACATTTATAAATAATAAGATTGGCACTGCGAATTATCGTTTCTATAACTCTTGAAGAAAAGGTGATATATATGAGTTTACATGAAAACTTTCTGATATCCAATCTTTTTACCTAAAAGTAACTTAGAAGTTATAAATGAACAGACACGCAGATTTTCATAAACTGAGTTACGTTAAATTTTGTACCGTCAGCAATTTAATTTGGGAAATCAAAAATGTGAAGTAAACATACAGGTCTGATTTTTAGTGAATTTTCTAAAGTAATAAAATGTCAAATCCTGCTACCTGCAACTTAATTGCCATTGAAAATATCCAAAGTCCAAACAGTTGATAAATGTTATACAAACTAACGAGCTACAGGAAAGTTTAACAAATTTCTTCACATCTAAAGTTGTTTAAGAAGCAACAGTTCAAATATTTTAAGTAAATTCTGATATATTACAGAAATATTGCGAAGCGTTTTTATAATGCACTTTCATATATTCTTAAAATCATATTTCTTGCTTCCGCAATGCATCTGAATTTGTTTAAGATATTTGAGTTGCTACTTAGATTGTTATCAAACATCTGAGCTGCTTTGGAATTTCAAAAACAATATAACGCCAATCACTTTCTGATAATCAGCAAATATCATGTGATTCATTATCTTCACACTATGAACAGTGAAAGCTTGGCAAACTAACCCTGATGTAATCACTTAAAGTGCTTATCCAAATACAATTGTGAAAAGAATTTGAAATTGTATGACCGCAAAATAGATAAAGTTCTAGGCTTCATGGAGCTAAGTAAG